CCCCAACCCCCCCCCCCCCCCCGCGATTATAGAGTTTTGGGCTTAGGGCCGTTATCCATACCATGAGGGGCCCTTATCCACGAGCCCCACAGCATGTAGCCTGAGGCCGTATGCGTCGAAACCCAAGCACGAATTGCTTCGTTGCAGGTCACAATCATGGCGGGCAACGTCGTCACCAAGGAGGGAGTTTCAAATACCCCATGAACCTAGATTGATAGGATATACGTTTGTGTTGTAAAGGGGTTCCTGTCGGGACCTGGATGGACATGGACCCTTGGGAAAAAGCCACCCCAGCACTTTAGGGTTTAAGTTTCGGCGGTGGGGTCCTAAACCCCAGACCCTAAAACCCAAACACCCAACCCTAAAACCTAAACCCCAAACCCCGAAACCCCAAACCCCACACCCGCAAAGCCTAAACCGTAGACCGAGCCCTCTAACCGTAGTCTTCTCAGGTCTTGCGCGTAAGGCAGTTAGAAGATAGGTAAGCCCTAAACCCTAAACCCTAAACCCTAAACCCTAAACCCTAAACCCTAAACCCTAAACCCTAAACCCTAAACCAAACTCAGCTCTGGAATCCCAAACCCTCAAACTTCGAGGCCTCATGGCCGGGGACTCTCCTTGTAAGGCCGAGATCCTGAACTGTGAACGCCCCAAACCCATAAACTCCAAGCAGAACCCCAGGGCTCCAAGTACACAACCCTAAACCCTAAACCGTGGGCCCTATAAACCCCTAAACCCTAAACCCTATACAAATAGCGTCTACTTTGGGGTCTAAAGTCTATAAGTAGTACCTACTTTGGGCTCTTTGGAGCCCCAGGGGGATGCTCGTGATCCCTAAACCCTAAACCCTAAACCCTAAACCCTAATCCCCTGGAAGAGGAGATGACGGAGGAGCTCATCTTCAGTGGTGCAGACGTGATCAAGGCGCTGCTTAAAGAGAGCTCTTCAAGGGCTCCTTGAAGGGCTCCTGAGTCCCTAAAGGGTTCTATAGGAGGGTTTAGGACTCCTTTAAGGGTTTTATAGGAGGATTTAGCATTCCTTTAAGGGTTTTATAGGAGGATTTAGGATTCCTTTAAGGGTTTTATAGGAGGGTTTAGGATTCCTTTAAACGGGTTTTATTGGAGGGTTTCAGGATTTAGGGTTTAGGGTGTAACGGTTTAGGGTTAAGGGTTTTAGGGTTTCAGGGTTAACTTTAGGCTCCCTGTAGCCACAAATAAGTAGGTGTAGGTGGTCGTAATAGCAGGTACTTGGAGGCCCAGGGGACTTAGTAAGTCGGTTATAGGTACAGTTATAAGTACCCTAAATGGAGTTACCCCAATTATAACCCTACTTATAACCGACTTACTAAGTCCCCTGGGCCTCCAAGTAGTCGGGCTATAATTCATGGACTCATTGTAGGTATTGTCGGCCCATAGGCCATCCTTTAACGAAAGTTCTAAGACACGGTTTAGGGTTTAGGGTTTAGGGTTTATTCTAAGATTCTAAGCGCTGATACCCCAAGTATTGCCCCCCCCCCTCCCCTTACCAAGTCGCTTGATGCGATATCCGACTGAAGCGCGCCAAGTCTTGGACACAAAGTCCTACTTATCAACACCACTTTGTCCCCTGGGTCCTTTAGAGTAGTCTGCTGAACCTTACCATGCCAGATCCAGGATTTATGCTGTGTGGTGCAGGGTTTGTGGCTCAGGGTTGCAGCTTGCAGGGTTGATAAGATGTAGTATAGGGGCCTTACTAATTAGAATTGGGTTTTTGGGCCCATTATACTATAATTCTGATAAGGAACCACCAAAATAGGCTTGGTAATTATTTATTGGGCCAAATACATTAGGAGCAGTTTTCTGATAGAAACAACTTGCGCCTCTTGTCAGGAGCTCTGTGGATGGCGCAAGCAGGCAACTACCCAAAACGGTGCGCTTCTTGCTGCTGTAGTTCTTCATCTGATCTGATGAGACCCAGAAACTTGCTAAGAACAACCCTAAACCCCTCAACGCCCAAAGCCCTGCACCAAATCCTAAGATACTCCCAAAGCCTCGGATGCCTGTTCAGGTGGGCATTGGCCCGGGCAGCGTTTGCACAACTCGCAAGCAGACAGGTGTCGGATGCTGCAGGGCTTCAAGGTTACTTAGACGTTTAGGGTTCAGGGTTCATGGGTAGTCATAAGTGGGGCTATATGTAGGATAATTATGCTTATAAGCCAAATTAGGTGTCTTATAGCCCCGGGTATATCTACCCATGAGGACCTAGGACCTAGGGACCAGGACCAAAGGGACTGGTTTTCGGCACGGTAACCTATGATTTCTGAACCCAGAAATTCGGTCGCACATTGATACCCTAAGTTTAGGGAATCGAACCAGGGTTGAGGATTCAGATTCAATGATTTCGGCGTTTGGCTTTGTTCTACAGCGCAGTGAGTCGTAGTAGGTTTAGGGTTTGGGGTTTGAGAGGGGCGGGGTAGCAGGTTTCAGGCACCGGCTAGTATTTTCTGCATGCTTTATCGACCCTCAAGCAATACTGTGGATACTTGTCAGGGGTACTTGGACCCCTAAACCCCCGAAACCCCGAAACCTCTAAACCTCTAAACCCCTAAACCCCTAAACATTTAAACCCCTAAACCCCTAAACAGTTGAACCCTAAACCCTAAACCCTGAACCTCTAAACCCTAAACCCCTAAACGTCTAAACCCCTAAACCCTAAACCCTAAACCCCTAAACCCCTAAACCCTAAACCCCTAATCCTAAACCCCTAAACCCTGAACCCTAAACCCCTAAACCCCTAAACCCTAAACCCTGGTAGAAGCAGCCTTGGACCTGATGCTCAGACCAGATCTGATTCTGATGCTCTCGCATCTGCCAGCGGTACGAAATCCAGCAAATCGAGCTTTAGGGATTTAGGGGGTTTAGGGTTTAGGGTTTAGGGTTTAGGGCATCCGAATTCCTCAAGGGGTCCTAAGCCTAGGTGGTCTAGGGGTTAGGGTAATGATATGGGGAATAACTTACCCAAACCATGATAATAGTTCCGATTCTGAAAGCCCTACTTTCTACTACGTAGGTACTTACTGTAGGGTCCTTTGAATTCAGAGCTTCGGGAGTTAGGGGCTAAGCGGTTTGCGGTTTCGGCCCCTGGGTTTTGGGGTTTACGAACACTAGGAAGTTGGAACAGGGTTTAGGGTTTAGGGTTTAGGGTTTAGGGTTTAGGGTTTAGGGTTTAGGGTTTAGGGTTTAGGGTTTAGGGTTTAGGGTTTAGGGTTTAGGGTTTAGGGTCATGAGTTAAGGATCATTCGTGCTAGGATTCCTTATGCATTACCTCAAGGGCATGGGGATAATGATGCTCCTATGTTCCGGCTTCTACTGTAGGGTTTAGGGTTTAGGGTTTAGGGTTTAGGGTTTAGGGTTTAGGGTTTAGGGTAACTTGTTCTGTAAAGGTAAACCCTGTCGCGCCGAACGCTACAAGCCAAATGCATCACTTTGTAACAAGAGCCCCAGCCCTTAGCTACCGAATATAGAAGCATAAATACATCTTTATACTATCATATACCCCCGATTCCTTTTTCGATTGCTAGATTAAGGCCCGAAGTTTGACCCTGGGTTGTAGCTGCAGCTTGTGGTTACTTTAGTTGCCTACTGGTACCCTAAACCTTAAACCCAACAAAAGGTAATGTAGGGCAGGGGCCTGAATAATTACCTATACTATTTTTTTGGGTGGTTTGGGGGGTCCATATTATAAACACAGTCAAACCCTAATATTAAGGCCCCTACATTATTGGGACGACACCTCCAAGCCCCGGTAGACTCTGAATTGCAGACCCATGCTGGGGGGGCCAGCGTAATTTATGGTCCATGTTCTATAGCAAGCAGAGGTAGCCCAACAAGGAACTATACATTGCCGAACTTTTGCAGTGGAAGCCTAGAAACTGGAAACCCAATAGCCCCAATCCTTAAGAGCACTGCACAGGGAATCCCAGCACTACTTGTCCCTCTTCCGGTTTCCAATTTTTTGGGCCTTACTGTACACCCTAAACCCCAAAACCCTAACCCCTAAAACCCTAAACCCGAAAATCCTAAACCCTATAACCCTCAACCCTAAACCCGCAAGGGGCCCTTAAACAAAACAAACTAAACAACAAACTCTACACCACCTCAGGCAGCTTAGGGACGAAATGACCCGTAACAGTAGGGGCCCTATATCCCTATACTCTGAATCCCTGTATGGTATATGAACCCTAATCCGTTTTAGGGGTCATTCTGTCTGGTGCTTAGTAGGGAATGGGGGAATGGATCCCTATGATATTCCCTGAAGGTCCCTTATAGTAGTCCCCCTAATCCATTCGCCCATTCCCTACTAAGCACCAG